ATGCGTATACAAACAGACGCAGATTTGCATTGGGGAACCACCGCACTATGCTTTGTCTACTATCAGCTCAAGGAATTTCTACAGGTAACTCCCCAAACTTGAACCTTCCCCCCTAGAATTTTGTCATTTCCACTTGTGCCTTCTCCTTTCTCTGTACCCTAAATGCTCTCTCTTTTCCATTTGGCTTTCAAAATCTGATTCATGTAAAGATTAATTTTTACCTCCTTCATGAAGCCTTCTGTAATTATTCTAGGCTACAATCACGATCTCTCCACTTACCAACTCGTGCATGATTGGACACACATTATTTTCATTTTGTTAGTTCCACCTTCACATACAAGTGAAAAATTCTTCCAGGTCGTGGACCATGTCTAAAACTTCTGTTTTATCATACACAACTAGTACATGGTAGGCATAATGATGAATATGCATTCCTTCATTCATCCGTCAAACATACTAAACACCTTCTATACTGCAGGCCATGTGCCAGAACCTGGGGATATAAAAATGAGCAAGATATAATCCTTGCCCATGAGGAAATCAGAGTCTAATTTGAGTCACATATCTGTAAGTAAACAATTAAAATAAAATATAAGTGTTATACTTTTGTGAGTAGTTGATTAATTCAACAAATCATCAATCATAAGAAATTAGAAAACTGTATTCTTTATCATCTCTTTTACAAATCTTGTCTCTAGGTGAAACTCAATTGTTGATGGAATAAAGGAAAAGTTGATAAAACTAGTCTTCTAGGATATAACAGGATCCTGACAAATCATGGAGCCAAGGCCAAAAGGAGCCTCTTTCTTCCCCAGTCCTTTTGATTAAGGGGGGTGAGGGGGGGTGGAAAGCCAAGGTTGTAAAAAACTGTAGGGATTATGCAAAGCTGTCAGAGGCCCAAAAGAAACACAAGGCCATATAAGCAGATAAAAGAGGTGCAAACCAAGGAGGGGGAGGATTAGCTGGCCCAGAATAGAACAGTGGCCTTACAGATACTCAAAAAGGGACATGGTTGTGATGGGAGGCTGAGGGGGTGAGTCCAAAGACTTGGGCTATGGCTTGAATCTTAGAATAGCTAGATGTAAGAACTAGGGTGTGTGTCAGGGGGTGTGAATTTAAGGAAGTGGAAAGGAAAAAAACATACACAATCTGCTTATTACTCTTTAATGTCAGACTTGGCCAATTTAGCCCTGGTTTTGGCCCTGTCAGTTGGCAGTCTCAGTAGGAGATCAGGATAAAGCTGATAACTATAATAAGTTTGATTATAAAACCTTGGAATCCCTTGCTTGGCCCATCATTCAGTTACTTGCAAGAGCTATTTTCTAGAAACAGCTGGGACAAAGCAGTATCTCTGACCCAGGAAGAATGGCTCCTGGACATTCTAGCACTTTGAAACTCTTGCTGCTGAGCCTTGGTCTCTGATTCTGTCAATGAACACCCGGGTCCTCGCTTGAGATTTGTCGAACTACCACATGGTCCCGGGCAAGCCATTTCTCCTTTGAGATATCTCATTGGAAAAACCAGGATTGCACTGGATGCCCTTTAGGGCCTTTGGTAGCTTTGAGACTCTGAGTTCAGTAGTTTTAAAATGGAAAATCAGCTCCTCCTGGAGGTGAAACGAAAAACATGGGATCACAGGACTAATGTATGTGGGACACCTTATCCATATTCAAACAAATCCACTTCTTTTTGTGGGGGTGGGGGACAGTTTATTTTTTCATCCTTATTTATACCCACTACTGTAGAGTCGATTCCTTCATAGCGACCCTGTAAGACAGAGTAGAGCTGTCCTATAGGGTTTCCAAGATTGTAAATCTTTACTGAAGCAGACTGTCACATCTTTCTCCCATGGGTTCGAACCACGGAACCTCTTGGTTAGTGGCTGAGTACTTTAACCACTGTGCAACCAGGGCCAATATAAACCATTGCTTATGCTTGTAAATAGTTTTGGGAAACTTTCACTGCTCTCATTTTTACGACACCTGCCTGGTTTTAAAAGACCATCCCTATTCACATGCTCTGATGTCACATAGAATCATAGGCTATTACAGTGTGAAAGTACTGGGAAGTTAAGCAACTCTCCCATCATGTGGCCAGTTAGTGGCTAACTTTGGACTATATCCCAGCCGGTGCCCCCATCCCTGTGCCTCCTGCCTTCTAACTCAATTCATCAAATGTTCATTAAATGCCAATTATAAATTTAGCAAAGGAGCTCTGGTGGCACAGTTGTTAAGCACTCAGCTGCTAATTGAAAGGTCAGCAGTTCGGATCCACCATACACTCTGCAGGAGAAAGATATGGCTATCTGCTTCTGTAAAGATTTACAGTCTTGGAAACCCTAAGCGGGCAGTTCTACTCTATCGTATAGGGCTGCTATCAGTCGGAATTGACTTGATGGCAATAGGTTTTTTGGTTTATATATTTAGTATAGCATAGGGCTAGCAGTTGTGGAAGATACCTGCCCTCAAGGAATTTGTAATCCTATTGGAGAGACTTGCCTTAAACAAATATAACAGTGTACTAACACCATGGCTCACAGTAGAATCAAAGAGTCCTCTACCAAAAAAACCCAAACCCAATGCCACCGAGTTGACTCATACTGACCCTATAGGACAGAGTAGAACTGCCCCATATGGTTTCCAAGGAGTGGCTGGCGGATGCCAACTGCCAACCTTTTGGTTAGCCGCCATAGCTCTTAGTCACTATGTCACCAAGGCTCCAAAAGTCCTCTAGGAGGAAGAAAATAAAACCCATCTTCCTTAACGTTGCACTTTTGTAATATCAGTTAGCACACATTTTGAAAAAGAGAAGCTATAAGGCCAACAATAGAGTTGAATATGGCCCCTCCCATTAATTCCAGAGGGGATGATGGGAAGGGAAGACAAATATGTAGTCTGAGTTCTGTTGGAGGATTCAAATAATAGTAGCTATTGCTATTCCTTTTCAAATAACCTGACTTTGTCCAATTCAACTTTCAGTTCACAAATAGTTATTTTTCCCTCAGGGTGAAAACAGACAAACCCTGATTCCAGAAGATTTGCATTACCCTCATTAGTTAAAAATGAGGACAGGGTAGGCACATGATTTGCATGCTGGACAGTTTCTAAATCTGCCTGGGGCATAGATTTGTAATTCATGGTTAGATTATGTTAAGGAACTAAAAATAAAAATCCTCTGATTTACTACAAAGATCTCCTTTACCGGTGGTTTTGTTCTAGAAACTTTGCTGAATCAGCTACTGTTACTTCTTCTTGATTGTATGCTTTTTAATTAGTCAGTGGTTAAGCAATTAAATGATTAACTGTTAATGACAATAATTTTCCTTTATTTCACAGTAGTAACACATTTGTTGTAGCAACACGTTTGTTTTTTACGTCTTGTAATTTCTATTTGTTGCACAAACAGTATTTCAACAAGAGTTAATAAAATATTTTAAGAAGACATGGTGCCACTGTTTATTTTCCATGTTTTTTACGGTTCTTATATCCGTGCATATGTATTTTACCTAATTACAATCATACTGCTGATACATTCTGATTTTTTCCTTTAAATTGCATTATAAATATGTTTCAAATTTCTGTAGGCCTTGTGATGATTATTTATTGGCTGCATAATATTCCACAGGATAGATGTTTCATAATCTGCAATAGCCATTTCCCTGTTTTTGGCCATTGAGGCAGTTGCTAGCCTATCATTGCTATTTAGCACATCAATTTGGATGGAACTGGTACAGAGACATCAAAAATGTCTTTGAGGCGATTGTCTTTTGGAAGACGAAGGGAACAGGTAGCTTCAGCTTCATTGTGTATCTACCACATAAAAAGGTAGCAACCATATTATAAAAGGCCATGTGTTGATGGTTGGTAGGTAAAAGTTCTTCCTATGGCGGGACAGAAATATCATCAACAGTTTGTAACTAGGATAAACATAACGACATTCGTTTTCATGATTAATAGCCCAAAAAAAAAAAAAGAAATACTACTGCAAGGTGCCAATTCTACCTTCCTCTACTGGTTAAGAGCTATGGCTGCTAACTAAAAGGTCGGCAGTTTGAATCCACCCGCCGATCCTTGGAAACCTTCTGGGGCAGTTAGTTCTACTCTGTCCTATAGAGTCACTAGGAGTCGGAATCGACTCAATGGCAACGAGTTTGTTTTTCTTTTTTTTTAAATGTCAGAACAGTATAAAAGAGGACATTACTGATGCCTTCTGCATTAGACTATTTAGTATCTCTTAATCTTGGCTTCCAAGCAACTGTGCCAGATCCTGAGGGGAACCTACTGTTCTCCTGTGGACAGAGGGAAGGTCTCCTGCTGATGTTAGGCTAGGTGAGTGTTGCGGAGCGCGGGGGATGGGGGGAAGACTACAGACGGCCAGCCTGGCCCTTCCGGTGTCCTCACTCCAGCGACAGGAATTGAGAGTTGCTGGAGAAGAATTTGCACCTTGCGGCAGAGGAAGGGTGGAGGTCGGTTAGCAGATGGATACTGAGTAGAAGCCTCCCACAGAGGAGTTCAGTCCTTAACAGAGTATCACACCGCGCAGGATCTGGAAGGCAGCAGAGGAGGCGTGGGATGGAGCCCGGGTTAGCTGCCACAGCGGAAAAGTTAGAAGGATTTGGCTTAAGAGAGGGGAGGGGACCTACAGAGCGCGCAGTAGGTGGTGGGGGCACCGAGGGGGCGCGGAGACTGGCCAGGGGGTCAAGGGAGACTCGGAAGTCAACGCACAGCAGCCCTTGTCTCTCAGGCAGGGCGACCTCCCGCGGCCCCTCTTGGAATCCGGCTCCGACGCAGGTCAGACGCAGGGCGGGGCCGGTGGGCTCGCGAGGCGGGGCCGGTGGGGCGGGGCGCTGTGGGGTGGCCCCGGCGCTCTCAGCCTGGCCCAGGGGAGCGCGTGGAGGCGGAGCCGGTCCGTGTCCCGCAGCCGCTGGAGCCCCTCGCGCTGCCCTCTCCGCGCGTCTCGCTGTGTCCCAGTGCCTGGGTCGCCGCGCTTTTGCCCTCGCCATGCTCCTGTTGCTGGGGCTGTGCTTGGGGCTGCCCCTCTGCGCAGGGTCGGAGGACCGCCTGGCGCCGGCTCTGGAGCTGGAAGAGGCGCGGAGGTGGGATGACACTTTGGAGCAAGTAAGTTGGAAAGCTAGAAGGAGCCAGGGAGGGGACTCTGGGGTGCGGGCCAACAGTCCCTTCCCAACCACCTCCTTTGGGCTGCATGCCTTCTTGACAGGCTCCCGGTGACCTGTCCTTGACTGGAGGAAGGAAGGAATCGCCTCCCTCTCCTCTTAGGTCTCCCCCTCTTTCTCCTTCATTTTCCCCAACACTGCTGGAGGGAGTTTCCCCATCGTTTGCTCAGTTGTTGGGAGAGACTGTTTCGTCCTCGGTTCCTGCCCTAAGTGAGAGGTTTCCTGCAAGAACTAAATTTTCTTCCTGGCTCCCGTTATCTGCGCTGATTGCTGCCAGTTTATTTATCTATTTTTTTTATTAATTTCTGAAATAGATCCCAAGTTAAAATTCCTTCGTTACCTCTGTGTGTGTGTGTGTGTGTGTGTGTACTTTATTTTTCCAGTAGATCCAGACTCCTGTAAGCCTCAGCTTTTCCCATCTGAAAACCGGGAGAACACACCTTTCCCATCAGGCTGTTATGAATGGTTTAGCAATTTAAAAGGTAACCTAATGGTCTGGCCAGGAGGAAGAACCAAACGGTCTTAGTATCTCAACTCTATTCAGCGCATTTGCCAGGGTTTGTGTTTTAAATGGCTTAACCTCACAGATGAATAAAATTTGCAAATATGAAATCTCCATATAATGTCTGTTGAATAGGAAAGCTCTTCGAAAAGCATAAAGCAGTTTTATAAATGCAAAACTTTATATAGAGAAATGGCTCTGTCACAATTAAAGTAGATAGTGTATATCTGTATCTCCTGGTGCTGTTTACACATGTATCATTTAAATTATATTTAAACTGTTAAGGTTAAAGCTTCTTTTCACGATGGGAGAAAGACATAAGTAGTCCTATTTTTCCTCTCCTTTTCCAGCACCTTGTTTTCAGGAGTACATCTGTAAGACAATCTATCTAAACATCAGATGGTTATTTTCATGCCGATTCTACCTTATGAACGTGCTTATCTGTAAAATGGAAGTAATGGTAATTTTCTCGCAGAGTTGTTAGGATGAATAAAAAAAAAAATTAAAGTCGATTCCGACTTATAGTGACCCTATAGGATAGAAGAGAACTGCCCTATAATGTTTCCAAGGCTGTAAGTCTTTATGGAAGCAGACTGCCAAATCTTTCTCCTAAGGAGTGGCTGCTGAGTTCAAACAGCTGCCCTTTTGGTTAGCAGCTGAGTGCTTTAACCACTGTACCACCAGGGCGCCTTGTTAGGTTGAATAAACCAAAAAACCAAACCCGTTGCCATCGAGTCAATTGTGACTCAGATGAATAGCCAATAAGAATTCTGGGAGGCCATGTGGTGAGTGGGAAAAACGCAGGCTTTGGATACCAGGGAGAAAGGCTGGATCTTTACTCCACCGCTTAGAGCTGTGTGGCTTGGGCAACTTATTTAATCACTCTGAGCCTTCATTCCCTTCTTGATAAAAGCAGGGGCTATAACACCTCCCTTTGAGCATAATTTTAAGGATTTCAGCTAGTGTGCTTGTGCGTGTGTGTGTGTGTGTGTGTGTGTGTGTGTACTGTGGGCACTCAATAAATGACAGATGTTTTATGAAGTGGCTAATGGCATGGACTTGATGCCAGGCTGTCTGGGTTTGGTTCCTAATTCTGTCACTTACCACCACCGTGACCCTGGACAGGTTATGTGGTGCCTCAACTTCCTCCTCTGAAAATGTGGAAAATAATAGGGTTGTGAGAATTGAATGAGTTAATATACCTAAAGTGCTTAGAACAGAGTTGACACTTAATGTTAGATAGTAGTATTAGGCTTGTGCAGCTCAAGTGCTGAGGGAAGGAATTTAGGGTAAAGATCTTGAAACTTTCTTTGGGTGGAGGGGGAAGAGTGTGGGAAGAGCTAAAACAAAGATTCTGTTTATGAACTAGGCGGACCAGTTAAAGCTCTAACATTTGCAAGTCCAATAGGCTTAACACCCTCTAAACTTTCCTGCATAGAATAACATGGGTTTGGCCCATTTTAGTAATTTCATGCTTTCTTCAACCCATGGCAGTATGTATTCATCTCAAAAATAACTAGAACAGAAAAAACACTCCAAGATGTGAACCTCTAGGAAAATTTGCAATTTCGCTTTTCTAGCTCTACTCTTTTTTTTTTTTTCCATCTTAGTTTTGTGTGACATAAGATTTAAGAGCAGGACCTCCAGAACCAGACTTTGGGTTCAAATCCTGGCTCTGCATTTATTGGCAAGTTACTTAATGTCTGTGAGCCTCTATTTCCTCTTCTCTAGAATGGAGATGATGAAATTACTTAATTCAAGAGATTATGAAGATTGAAAGAATTCATATACTTAAAAAAACAGTGCCTGGCCATGTAGTTAGTGCTCTATTTTCAATAATTATGGTCTTTAAAATTATGCACCCATTATACCCATTTGGCACGATGGTTAAGAGCTTGGCTGCTAAGCAGGTCAGCAGTTTGAATCTATCAGCCGCTCCTTGGAAAACCTATAGGACAGCTCTGCTCTGTCCTATAGGGTCACTATGAGTCAGAATCGACTCAACAGCAGTATTTTGTTTTTGTTTTTATTATACCTGTTGCTGTTGAGTCCATTCTGATTGATAGTGACCCTACAGGACAGAGTAGAACTGCCCCATAGGGTTTCGAAGGCTATAATCTTTATGGAAGCAGACTGCCACATCTTTCTCCCATGGAGCAACTGGTGGGTTCAAACCGCTGACCTTTTGGTTAGCAGCCGAGGGCTTGACCACTGTACCACCAGGGCTCCTTTTAAAATTATATGTAAACTTTATTTATATGTGTCTGTTAACTTTCATTGTTAATTCCAGAGATGTTGTCTTGTCGCTTACCTTCAATTGGAAATAGTGTCTAATAACACCTTTTTTTCAAATTTCTTCCTCTACTCTCTACCCCATCTATAACAAAAATTTACCCATAGTGAAGGGACTGCTAAATGCAGTGGTTTTCAAACTTGGGTGTGCAAACAGAAACTTGGGGAGCTTATTCAACAGTTAGATTCCTGAGTTCCACTCCTGTCGATTTAAGATCCATTAGGTTTGGGGTGAGACCCAGATGGTTCTGATGTAAATGATCCATGGACCACACTTTGAAAAATACTACTTTAAAAGAATTTTTCAGGAAATTAGTATTAAAAAGGAACTCTCGCCTATACCGACTTCCTTGTTTTGTAAATTCAGATTCATGTGTTTAAGGTTAGTACTGTATTCCTATTACTGCAAAAGTAGTTTTTAATTTTAAAAAATAATAGCCACCGATTATTGAGTGTATATAATGTACCAGAGAGTTTGCTAGGAGCTTTATGTAAAAAACATAAAGGCAATAAAATACTATGGTTAAGAGTACTTCAGGTGGAGCCAGACTTCCTGGGTTCAAATTTGGATCACACCATGGACCATCTGTGTGTACTTGGGCAAGTAACTTAACCTCTCTTGGTATCAGTTGTTAATAGTTCCTACTTCACAAGCAGGGGTGGATCTAGGTTTTGGGAGAGAGTTAAAGCTCACACAATTTAGAGAGTCCTCTTTAAGAAAAAGAATATAAAACTAAAAATACAAAATCAGGTGCTAATGTGAACATTTATTTAGAATAATAAATAAATTACAATTTTTAACAAGCTGAAAAACACCACAAATATCACACATATTGAAGGGCCTGTAGGAGCGAGGGACCCTGAAGCTTGTGTTTTATTACTTTCTAGAGAAATCCACTTTTGCTCTTATTGTTGTTGCAAAGTTTATCTGAGTTAATTCAGGCAAAGAGCTTGTGTATAGTAAGCACTGAGGTAAGGCTAGCTATTCTTACTATTTATGTATGAAAAACAAACCTAACCCATTGCTATTGAGTCGATTCCAACTCATAGC